AGCTGCTGCATGGATGAAAATAAGTGAAAAAACCCTACACCAATCACTTCTGATCTAACTTCTCAATGGTTAACTGTCGCATGGTACGTTTTCCAAATAAGTTTAATTAGAAAAATGGTACACTTCTCTACCACTGCACTTTGTACTTTGTTGTGATGAAAACTTACTTTATTTGTGTTGAAGCTCGAGATTATACCAATTTTTCAAAGTTGTTCCGAAGTTCCAAAAAAAGAAGAGACATGTCTGTAAGACAGAAATACAAAGAAGTTCAACAGCTAATCTCAATTCAGAAAAATTATGGGGAAAAAGTAAGAACTCAACCATTCTACTTAAGGTTTACCAGCTGCTTCAGATAAACATTTAGTTTTTCATCCTTTTAAATTCCGTCCATTTATTTGCTTATCTTGCACAGTTCTCATCTGAACAATGCGTTCAGCCAAGGTCATAAATTTTTTCAACATATCTGCACCCACACGTCTCTCCCGCTAAACCAAAATTAAAGAACAACATTAACCAAAAGGTAGGATTAGAAACAATTTCGGAAAAACAATCCTGTCACAGCTTGTAGAAAAAGCCACACAGGAGCCTTCTTTTAAAAGACAGAAATGATTGCAAATATAGATTCCTTTAATCTTCGCAACTTTAACTAAAATCGTTCTCTCTGAAAAGAACAATACAAGGTGTTACTGCAGCACACTGTAATTTCAAAGCCATATACTTCCTACAAACCAGTTGCATAACTAAGAGTGCAAAGCGAGAAGCTGAGAACAGCATAAGCAGTTAAATATTTCATATCGGTTTTTAAAGCGTTACTTAGAGTACAAATCAATTATTAAAAAATTTATTCATCTTCAACGAAAGCCTACAAAATTGAAATTTATTCAACTTACCAAAGCTTCTTTTTTCTCTCAGTTTGATGTACATCTCTGAACCTAAACGAAGACAAATTTCAAAAGATAGCTACGATTTTAATGCAACTGCCACCATTCAACTTACAACATACAAAGCTTTGCTATAACTGATAAGTGCCGAAAAGTGGAAAACGTCAGTGTATTAAATACTAAGTAACAACATTGCAAACTTCCAAAAAATATAATTATCACCATCCGAGAAATGTGGAAGATTATAATTATTCGTGATTCGCAGCTAAAAAATTACTAGAAGCAGCCAAAAATGATTTAGAAAAACTTCAGAAGTTTTCCAGCATTATAAATACTTGATTCATAAGCCTAATCAATCTAGAAAATCTAATGAACTGGTCTAAATCAAAATAAGTGACAGAACTATTAGCTAGAGGCTTCCTAAAATTATAGATTATTTAGTTAACTGTTAACCCGATCAATAGACGCTTGATGCCATCATCACTCAATAAACTTTTACATCATTACTCAACATAGTGCCTGAAACAAGGCAAATTTTGTCACCTTCAACGAACACCCAGTAGCAAATAATGCAAAAAGTAAGAGAAAGCCAAGTATTCAGCCGTAGTTCAAAGACTAGGAACTAGGAGGTGTGGGAGAACTGTATAAAGTTTTATTTCGACTATTCTTAGAAAAGTTTGAAGATGTATCACAAAGTAACCGCCAATTGGAAATTCCGTAAAACGTCACTTTAAAGCAAATGAAATACACCTTTACATTTCGAAGCATACAAGGTCTGTAAAAAAAGTAAGACATCAAGCCGCAGTAAAGAAATGCAAAAAAAAATGAATATCTTCAAAGCGTTGTTTAATATAATAAAAAATTGACTGAGAGCTGAAAAAGTCTGTAAAAAGAACTACAAGTTTTGCATCAACGATTCAGGTTGCTGTATTGAAATAACATTTTATTTTGAAAAGCAACACCTGCCCAAAACCGCTTGGGGTAACGCACCTTACTTCACAAATATGTAAGCAGCAAGGATAAGAAATTGGTATTTAAATTACTTACTACTTCTTTGACAACACAAAACGTGAGAAAAGCTCTTTAATTTCAACAGCGCATTGTGCTTTCTCGTCATAATCTGCCCACTCCTAAACCAATCAAAAATTTAGAAATAATGACAGACGTCAGTACAGGTAATGGTAAAAAGTTAAAAAATATTTATAAACTTGTCCAGGCTACTTTTTCTGATAGATCGATATCATCAAAAACCGCTTCTGAGTCAGTGCAACGAGCCCACCAAACTCCCTAAAAAGTTTAATTCAACGTCCATTAAAAGTATTCTATATAATCGTTCCTAAGCATTCAAACGCTCCAAAAACAGCAAGACTGAAATACGACCCTAGGATCAAAATCAGTTGGCTCGATACCGCGACAATCAAATTTCAGAACTGGTTGAAATTCACCGTTTCTTTCAATCATGTACGGCTTGAAAGAATCTTGTATTATTGCTGCAAAGCACATTTTTAACTCAGGAAATAATTTTTTAACCCAAAATTTGGCAATCTGCTTAAAGTCCAGGAGCACGAGTAAATGAAAATAAAAAGTTCACATCAGATAGAAATGGTACCACTAATCAGATATAAGTTAATAAATAAAGTTGACAACAATGATAACATCAACAGTGCTTAGCTTACCAAGAGTATTTTGTCTTCCACACAGTTTGCATTTCTCCACAAAATTAACCTTTCCGGCCCTACCCATATCTACTGTCTCCTAAATAAAAATTACTTGAATTCAAGAAACAAAGTTATATAACCTCAAAAACCCATTACTCTCACATTTGCAGCAACGTAATGCCAATGATCTTTCTCTTCACCACAGTTGGTACATTTTATCTGTAAAGCGATTTATCTGCAACTGAATTTAAATGGCATAGTCAATTACACATAACATTATTTGAAACAATGAAGAATTAACAGTAGAAGTTAAAACAATTACTAAAATTTTAAATGTTCTAAAACCAAATCCTAGCAGACTTAATTAGGTCACCTTTACATGACACTTAAAGAACCGTTACTTTGAGATGCCAGTGGAAATCCGTCCAGTCAGGCTTCGGCTGCAACTCGTCGATATTTTCAAGATCTGCCTTCAACTCCAGGGCGATAAATGGCTGAAAATTATTTCATATGTAACGCTGATTTGCAAAATTACGAAAAAATATGTGAAATCCAGCATTTTCGTTTGCTTTCCGTTGAGAAAACGCACATATGACAGCCTAAAATTTGTAACTAAAACTGGAATTCAGCCCAAAAAGTAGAGACACAACTAACACACTAAAAAAGATGAACTAACCATCGCAGAAATTGAATAACTGAAAACCTGAAATTTCAACTAAGCTTAAGTAAGAATCATCTATGCGGTAAAGAAACTAAATGTAGCGAAGTAAGGACCAGAACTGAATTAAACGACTTCAACAAATACTCCATTTAATATTTTACTTCACCCATAGTAAAAAACTTTGAATAACAAAAAATTATACATGACTTCCTACATCTTACAAAAACAGCAATCACTCAACTTCCACAATGTTAACAAAGCGAGGAGCAACCTCACAAAAACTGTTTTTCAAAATATTAGTTAACAAACGCAATTCAGAAACTGTAAAGCAATTTTAAACACATTATTTAATTGTAACATAAATAAACCAGTCTGAAAAATTATTCCCAAATTCACAACAAAAAACTAGATAAACTCGTAAGCAATAAAAGAAAACATAAAAATAAGCTTCCAGCAACAAGTCAGCGCTTTTTAATTTTGAAATGACTAGTAAACTTAGCAAACTCAGAATCGTTCATTGAAAAAGTACACAAAAGATGGTTTCCGTCAGGAGTGGGGATTGGATCTGCTGTGAGGAATGAACCAGCAAAAAGATACTTCAGAACATCGGAACCTGGCTTTAATTTCAACAGACGCTTAACGCGGCCTTCAAGCTGCATGACTTTCTGCAATTTTCTAAAGTATACTCACGAATGAATCAAAAAAAGAACAAAAAAACTTTCCAAAAACAAGATTATCCCGAACCAACCTTATCAATGTCGGCAACTAACTGCGAGAAACCAAAGCCACTAAGACATGAAATATATATGATGGAGGGATCATGTGGAAGTGATAGTAACTTGTCAACTTTGTTTCCAACAAAAATTATACTATCCATAACTTCTGGCCTGATGTTTAGGCGGCGCAAAGTTTCAAGCACAGTTTCTTTTTGCGCTATGCGATCTGGATGAGACATATCCTCCACAAATAACACTAAGTCCTAAAAAACTAACGTATTTTCTCAGCAAAACCAAATGCAAGCAGCAAATCGAAGCAAAAATTACTGTAAAAACACTTACTGCCGTAGTTACGTGGCTTAAGGTAGCTTCAAAAGAAGCAAATAAATAAGTTGGCAGGTTGGATATAAAACCAATTGTGTCCGCAAAGTATACTAAAGAGCCAGACGGAAGGCGGGATAGGTAAGTTGCTGCATCTAGCGTTGCAAATAGCCTGTCCTTAACGTATATCGTCTTGCCAGTCAACCTAAATCAGATGTAAACTAGTAAAACAAAATTAAAAATGCAAGATTTCCTTGTTTTTATACTTTCAACCTTTTTATAAGGGAACTCTTCCCGACGTTAGTGTAACCAACCACTGCTATGGTAGTGGATGCCAGTTTATTTTTCCTGTTTTCTATCTCACTGCGTTTTTCTTCTACTGAAGCTCTAATTTTTTTTCGAATTTCATGTTCGTAAAGTCGTAACGCATCAAATTTATCTTTCCTATAAACACAACAACTGATTTGGTCAGATTTTGAGTGCAAATTTTGAAAACATTTGGGACGAACAAATAACTGAAATTTAAAATCAATACAGTAAAAACCTCAAAGAGACGGGGATCGTTATATTCAAAAATCCTGGGCTGATATGGTATTTATCACAATGCTTCATACGCTGCCTGCAGAACTACCTTTACTCTTCATTAAAAAAAAAAAAGCACTAGAAAATACGAATAACAACTTTTTTGAGATTCAAAACCTAAGTTTCAAAAAAGCTAACAAAAAAAGATTAGCCAGAAAATTGGTAAACCCTAAACATGATACCACAGAATCAAAGTGTTTATTATAATGTGGCCAGATAGTACCGTAAATATGGAATAGAAGCTAGTTGAATTTGTAACCACGCATCTTTCGTTCGAGCAAATATTTTGAATATCAGCAGAGCAATATTGTACCGGTCAAAAACAGGAACACCAAAAACACTTAAAAGCTCAACCTACAGCAGAAAAATATTCAGGTATATAGGGCTTAAATTTGCACATGATTTGGTAATTTATATAACAAAGCACGAATATAAAAGCACAAGAAAAAAGCACATAACCTGTTGCACGGGAGAAAGCATATCAACATTAATCATCAAGGCAGTCGCACGATACAGTTCCTTCGCTTCAACTAACTTTTGGACTCGCCCTTCTCCCCATATCCTCTTCTTGTTCGTGTTATAATCTGTACCGACAATGACAGAACTACAAAGAGGTTTTGTTATATAAAAGCGTTTTGGAAGAAAAGCCATTTACATTTACGCACCGTAGAAAATTATAAAAAAAAACTTACAAAAAAAAGCTTGAATAGCGCCTCCATTTTCATTAAAAATAACAAAATTTGTGCTTGTTTCAAAACGAAAATTAGAGCTATCCAGATTTTAAACGCTAAGTAAAGTACTAATTTCAAGCAAAAAACACGTCACTACCTGATCAGCCCAAAATTAAATTAAATATTAAAATTAACCTGCCAATTAGCAAATAAAAGAAACAAATGTGAATCAAAAAAGGAAAGTATGTAAACACAACATTACATTTCTCACTTACGGGCAGTCTTGAAGAAAGACCATTATTAAGCAAGGTAAAAAACAATTAAAATAAACGATAACCAACTTAGAAACTGTAAATTTTGGTATTGTTTTTACAAGCGCTACTGCTTCTTCTAATTGCAACTCAGGAGTCGTCGATGCAGCTGCAGAATGACGACCCCATCTAATTTTCGGATGTACCACCATTACATGATGACCAGTGGGAAATGAGCTCAAAATACCAAATTCATCTTCTGTCGCAGAGAGATTATTCTTCACATCATCATTATTAGTATCCAACGAAAAGTGACCAGTGGCTGACAAGGTGCTGTATCTTCCAGTAATTAACTTTGTAATATGATTATTCCTCTAAATTATGCAGCGTCTAAAGCTCAATTCACTGAAAGTCAGTAGAAAAAATGTGCCTTAAAATTTTCTTTTTAAATAACTTTATCCGACTTATATGAATACGAACTCACTTACACACTCCATCAAAGAACTTTTTGAAACCATCAGACTATTCAATTAACAGTCAATATAAGAAACCAGAAAATAAAGCGCTAACTTTTCGTCATTATCATTGAGTAACTCACGAATTATACTAGCAAAGTGACGTGCAGTAACTATTAAATAGACCTACTAGATATCACTTTTATGGAAAAGTTCCACCTAAATCTTATATAAATGCTCCTTAAAAGCATGATTAACACATAAATATAAACAGAGGAAAAAAAGTTAGTATTGTTTCAAAGCTTTACAAGCACAGAAAAATTATAAACTGACAAGAAGACATAAAACAAAACTTGAACTTACTCGATAAAGGACCGATATTATCCTATTTGAACCTAGATTCAAAAGTTGCAACGTCATTCAAACATCAAGTTTTCATGCAGCCAATATGACCTAAAAAAAAATTTTTGGGCAAAGAATGCTAGCATAAAATGGGCAAATTTCAAACCTTCAGACTTTGTGATGAAACTGTTTTAAAATCAAGTTTTTCCTTCAAAGGAAACATTGTTACACTTACCAGAAAAGCGCCAAAGAACAATTATATCATAGTCGTGGCCGAGAGTATCTATCAGCTACTTTCTCCAAATAACATAAGAAGAAATTTAGGATCTAAGTTTCAAGCTTCTTCTGTATCTCCTAGTATTAACGGCACATCTTCGTCATCAGTAAGAAAGCCAACCAAAAGACACTGGGCAGAACCAGCTCCTCAAAAACTTGTACTTCCTAAATATTGAAAATTTTTTCTGTGATTCCAAAGTTAAAAAGCAACTCAAAAAATCCGTAATGAATTGTAGCAATGGTTTGAGAACTACGCTTAAAACACGCTGCCTGATCAAACGCTACAACCCTGTCAGAAACTGCAATCTGTAAGTAACTGAAATACTTTTTTATACGACACATTCAGCATAGTAACATATGTAATAAAAAATATTAACATAAAAAACAATAAATAGCTCGAATAATATTAGAAAACAAATAATAACTAAAACATTCATCTTCCAGTCAAAGAAAAGAGACATCGAGCAAAAGGAAGAAAAAGGATTAGCTTTGGACACTCTCCTACGTTGAAATTTTAGAAGTGGTCAAGTTTTAAGAAAGATACAAATCGTCCAATAACACTCATTAGTCCAAACACCCATTAGCGGTCAAAATCGTTGAACTTAAAAACTAATTCAATCAGGCTACACATCAACAATTCTTCAGATGACTTTTGTACCTGGTTTTGGAAAGAGGCTACACTGCACTTCAGTTGCGGTAAAACATTATTGGAGACATTCATTTTCGAAAATCCTTCATCACTGATATTCAGCTGCTTAATAAGTTTGAAATACAATTTTTAAAGGACTGGCCCTCGCCTTTTAGTAAAACAGAGAATAGGAAGTTTGGGCTAGTTGACGGCCAATGATTAGCAAATTAAATCGCTTTACCCTCCCAATACAGATTTGCGATTTAAAAAACAGCACCCCCTCAACAGCACTTAAAACAGTATATCAGCTTTTCGAAATATGATACTTGCGTAAAAAAAACCCCGTCTTCTTTCAATTCAACCTTTATTTCCAGAACACAACAGCCTGTAAAACACATCTTTCTCCTAAATCATGTTACTCGGATTTTCTTGCGATCCATACAGTTCCGAGACTCAACTTATAGAAATTTTTTAGTAATGCTTTTCTTTTGAGAAGTTTTAAGTCAAGAACAAGAGGTCAATTATTACTCTTACATAATTCAAAAGCGAATACGCCACCACCAACCCATATTAAAACAACATCATAGCTTATAAACAGTCCCCAAGCGACCACTCCATTGACTCCCAACTGAGACTTCCCCAACACCACTAGTACGGATATCGCCAACAACGGTTCAAGAGAGTGAGGATTGAGCAGTAAGGCCATTTCGTTCAAATCTACCCTTAACTTTCCGCGAACAAACCGGAAGTAGTACACTTGCACAAGACTTAGCTTCACTTGGTGCAGAAACAATCCACTTCAATTACCTGAGAAAAAAATTATAGTTTTTTTTTAAAACTGCTAATAACTAATGTGACCTATTCAGCAAACCATCATCTTTAAAAACTATTTCGAATCAGAACTCCCGATCTTCCATTCACACCAAAAAACAATGGAAAGTTTGAGTAAGACTCAGAATGCATACAATGATTGCAAGATCCTCAACTACAGTGCAGACTACAGTAAAACAGACTTCATTACCAATAATACCTTTGGTAAAAAAAATAGAACTTCTATTTACATATACTTCTGCATATCATTGTGAGTTTCCAGAAAAAAAAAAAAAAGAAAAGTACAACCCCTCTTCTTATCGTTTTAGAAACATCAATCATACAAAATTAGAGCTCAAACCCTAAAAATTTAAAAACGCACGTCAAAAAATTAAAATAGCAACTCTTACAGAGACAATACAAATGGAAAAAATTTGGTACGCTCAATGCAAGGAACAAACAGAAAGTCCCAAACAATCAAAAAAAAAAATCAAAGGACCATAACTCTAAGCTGTTCACAGTGTGGTGACATTATTTTTGAGAACAGTTTTTTAATTTCTGGCTAAAATTAGAGCAAAGAGAACAGATAAGAACGATACTGAAAACATACTTGCTCTAAAAAAAGCAAACACCCGTAAAAGGTTAAAATATCCATATCGAGAAAACCAACTGAGGTTCACAGTGCATATTTCAGCAGACGAAAACTAAAAAGAAATTAAACTATTGATTATAATTAAAACCAAAACCAAAAAAGTCAGGGTGGTTTCATGATTCCAGTCTCACAAATTGAACAGGAAATCACTTCCAAAATATGAACTTTGCACCACCACATCATACGCAGAAATTCACGTAAAGAAAAACTACTTCAGGCACCTCAGTTGGCTTCGCTGTGATCGGATAAACAATAAAAACCAAACATAGCAAAAATCATTTCCAAACGCCAGATCTTACAAGTGTGCATTCCTGAAAAAATGAATAAAGAATATTGGGGAACAAGCTGGGAGCGGCACGAGTGATGATGATCGTGAACCCCGTGACGAATAAGGTAACAAACTGTACAAAGGTTTTCAGGATCATGAAAACGTTCATCAAATAAAAGGTCTAATACTTATCAAAAAGGATTATTATACGTTGCAGAGAGAAACAAATAAAAAACTGCAGATATAATGGCAGAATACCTAGAAAATTCAAAACTTAACAAGAAAGTAGTAATTGTAAGGAAAAATACGTGCCAAAAATACCTAGAAAATTTACGCATCAAGAAGCCGGAAGCAGAAACCATAAAGTTCTCAGGAATAACTTATGGCAAGCCAAAAAAAGATACTCAATTTATAACAACGTCTTCAAAATGTAAATCCTTCTACGCCTACACCTTTTAAAAATAGTCAATATAATGCAATACTTCTAAAATTGTGACCCGTAACAAAGAATTATGAGAATGAATTAATGATATTGTACATCTGTCAGCAGAGTGGGAGATTCAGTATTCTACTACATGTTATTATAAGCATCTGTGAGCACAAATTATGAGCATAAAAATAGGAAAACAGCGGATAATTACTCGTCACCACCACTGCCATAAAGAGAATTGAGCACTTTATCAATAGCATAATCATCCAGCCTTGGTTTCTTTAAAAATTGTGAAAAAGAAGGATTTTCTTCAACTGTAGTATTAATATCCGGAGAAGAATACGAATGCGGCGAAGCAGAAGCTAAAGACGAACTATGAGGTAGCTCTGTGTAAGGTGCCGATCTTTCTGAACGCTCTCCAGAGACTTTTTTTATCCCATATCGTTTAAGCCGATTCACTTGCGTTTCTTTGTAGCAAGTATCCTTTAGAATATCACCAACAAGGTCCACAGGAAACGACTGTTTTTGTTTAGGTACCGATATATCAAGCGCCCGCTTCCGTTGTCCAAGTTCCTGAAACCCACTCCTCTCTAGTTACAAAGGACAACGAAATAACACGCGGGAACTCCTCATAATTTTACCCAGATTTTTTAAGTGCTAAGTGGAAGATTTACTTTATCAGTAGAAGATGAAACTGTTGGCTTATTAATACCACTTCCTTGTAAGCTCGACACCTACAGAAAAGTCATACTGTACGATATGATTAGGAAAGAAACCACACAAAGAAAATAAATATAAAATTAACTAACTGAAGAAGCCGTGCTTCCCACTGATGCTTCATGTTCCCGCTTTCGTCGAAGTCTCGTAGCCATTTCCAAAACCATACCAACTAAAACCAAAAAACATTTGATACTAATCAAGATAGAAGCAAAGCGGTGAAAATTCAGTGCTTTATTCCTGTCCAATTTGTAAGTTGGTGAGATAATCGCGAAAATTAAACAAAAAGAAAAACCCTTAAAATCAAAAAAAAAAAATAGTGAGCATACCAAAGAACCATTCACATCCTGGCAGTCCTGAAAATCAACAGGAAAGAGTGCAGAAGACATATGTGTACCATAAAACTGAGGAATTTTAAGCTTCTCAGATTGTTTCAGGATTGTGCATAGCAGACCAAACGAATTAGGAAAAAGATAAAAGAATTTTAAAAATATGGCAAAAACTAGTTTTCAAGTGTTAACCTCAAAAGAAGAATTCGAAACGCAGCAAAAATAAAAAGTAACCATTTTCTAGCTAAAAAAAGAAAAAGCATACCGAAATGACAAAGAAAAGAAATAAATCACAAAAAGAATTAAACTAAAAGGCCCAATACCTGAAAAATAAACAAAAGCCTTTTTAAGACGCTTCTTCTGGCCTATAGAGTTTTTTTAACAGCGAGTGCAAAAACATTAGTGATTCTAGCATCAAAAAATAACAAAACTATGCCTAAATACAACAATAAATATAAATATCAATGTAAGTATAAATAAATAAA